TCGCAGTCGAGACGTTTCCTGCTGGCACTTCATACCTACTACCCTCAAAGATGCTGTAGAAATCGGTGAATGGCAACGAAGTTGCTGTTGGACACTGATTTAAAGAAAACGTAAAATCGGGAAACATTCTAGTGCAAAGCAGTCATTAACCTGCAGGGATTTCAGCAACTTCATCCATCAGATTAGTAGCTACATTTTCCATTTGGAAAAGATGTCATTGCGCTTTATCAAACCATTGCAAATGTACCATGATGATGTTGAAAAAGGAGCGTAATGTTGATTATTACAGTTGGATGATACTGACTGTGACCTACGTTTGATGTCGCTCTTTGAGTGCAGTCTTTAATACTTATTCGCTTAAGGGGTGGGGAAGATTGATGACATTTCAAAAGCCTTATGATGGCAATGCTGTCTCCACATCCCCATCCCAGAAGGAATAGTGAAAATGAATTGTCCCTGGCATGCCGTCGTTAACTTTGCTCATTGCATTTAAATTATGCTTCTTTGTTGTTTTGATGATTGTCTTGCCGAAAATTTGTGGCGTGCAGTTTCTCTAAATTATTAGTGCATTTTTTCGAAGATTTTTATTATGTGATAACTAAATTATTGCTTTTAGGTGGATGAGACTTCATCCTGATCTTTTGAAGATAAACTTCAAAAAGGGAGTTAAACGTGTCGAGAAAACCAACGCTATTGACGATATCATTTTTTGCTGTTTGGTAAATGTTTTTCGCAGCCATTAGTTATGTCTGAGTAACTAATGTCTGATGCGTTTTAGAACGATGAGCAGATAGATTTAAAGAAATACGGCGATATTTTTGAGGTTGCTCCAAAGCTTATTTCGAAAGCAGAAGCAACTGAATGGATTGCAAAATTAGACGCTGTAGCACTTAGTTCAGATGCTTTTTTCCCATTTGAAGACAACATACTTAGGGCAGTAAAGGTACGTATCGTATTATTCTTCTGAATCGAGATTTGAAGACCTCTTTGTTTTAAGAGTGGAGTGAAATTCATTGCTAGTCCCGGCGGCTCTGTGAATGATCTGCATATCATCAATGCCTGTAACGAGAACAAAGTTACCTTAATTCATACGGGCGTTCGATTGTTTCATCACTGAACAATTTTGTTGTTGTATTGGCGCTTAAGTTCTTCACTTTGTTTTGTTCTTGCTTCGTGGATGATTAACACATCCATCAGGCTTCGAAAATTGTCGCTAACTTCTTTATGACGTATATAATTTTTCATATGTGCTATTTGCTAACGATAGCACATATGTATCGTTTCTTTGTTGACATTAGTGCTGAATCTACCTGCTGGTATTTTCCATGTTGCTTCACTGAATTTTTAAACCATTTTCTGTGTTTGAACCAAAGATGCCTTTTTAAAACTAAAATTTCGTTGCTGTTATGTTTTCATGCAGTTATATAGTTGCGGGAACATTCTTTGCAAAATTTACTCATGTTTTGTAAACTTCATTATTCATTGCTTCGTAGAGGAATGGCCAATGATGACGAATTGCCTGCCGTCGTTGATGTCGTTGCACTGGGAACAGGTAACGAGCGAATAGTTGCTGTTTGTTTCAATTTCTGTTAATCTGTTGTTTGTTCTATAAACAAAGCAGTTTATAAACTGTATTATGTAGTTCAATGCGCTTCTCATTCCTTACGGTATAACGTTACATATGCCTTTGTTACACGGTTTAACATCGTTTGAGTATTATTTTACTCGAATTCAGGGTGGGGTTTCAGATCATCGGGGATAGCAAGTACGATAGATAGCATTTTGGCATCGATTCAAGCGCAACTGACAAAAAGCAGCTAAGCAGCAGCGCTAAGCTATGTTCCTTCATTTCTGTCCACAAAACCGCCCTAATCTAATGTCATGATTGCTTTATTTTGACTGAAGGAGTGTCATACAATATAGGAATAACGAACAGGACAGAAATAACGTTCTTTTCGAAGGCTTCTGATGTGGCGAGGGCTCTGTGAGTTTCTGGATACGGCACTTACGTTCAGTAGTTGCAAAGACCAAGGTTTCAATGCGTGATGCGTATAAGCGAAATCAGCAAGGCAGATTCTCTTCATAATGCTAAACGGATACCGGTCAAGAAGAAGATCGAAGGTCCATGGCTGAAACGTCGAACATCACACCTTTTTGCTGATCTATTCTGAACATACCAGATTGGTGTAAGACCACAATCACTGGAAAAGCTCGAGAGGCTGCTAACTCGCAAGCTAAATGAAATATGAGCGGTGAAATTAATAAGTCCAGTAAGTTTTTAAATTAAACATTTTTGTAATAAATGTGCCGTTAACAATATAAAATATGAAAGTCGGCTAATTGTTCCGCCACTAACAATTTAAGTTACTGTAAAAATCATGCAAGAAAATTCGATAAACCGTATGTGTAAAAATATCGTGGAGTCCTGGTTCGCTGAAATCTCTGTATCGCAGCTCTCGCAGTCCATCGATCCGTCTTGCATAATTTTGCTGTCAAGAGCAATAACTTGATCACTATTGACATAGACCGTATAGTGTGTTTTAACAGCGACTCGTTCCGAGTAGGTTTTGCCCCTGAGAATATATGGTATATATGATTATGATATAGAAAGAGATGGTTAGAAACTTTGAAAATGCCTCCAACCGTCTTATTCTTGATCTGATATCATTAAGAACCTGTTTATGTTTTCGAATTAGATACGCTATATGTGATATACATAGGTATTATAACGTGTAATTATTGCACATATATGGTGCAAATATGTGTAATATTAAAAAACCGGATTCCTAATCCAAAATATTATAAAGATAAGATAACTCCTACTAATCGGGTTTTGAAGCGCCTTTGCTCGTAAACGCATAAGCTGCCATGTAAGGAAGCCACGACTTTAGGCAATTTTAACGCCTGAATAGTGGCGATGCCTCTCAAATCTTTTTGTTTTCTAGGGTAAGTAGATAGTATTGATGGTGCAAGAGTTGGTAGTCTTTATATGGTTTGACTGAAACGTCAGAAATATCGGTTTAGGCCCCCGGAATACCGACCTATTAGCTATCCTTGTGCCTACGGGGATATTGTTAGTCTAATCCGGTGAAACTATCAGAAGTGCGTCGGAGTCAGCATGGATGGAATAAGTGGCATCAGTATCTGTTAATGTTACCGTCACCTTTCAGTGAAAGCGATCAACTACGTCGTTGCTGTTCTGTTGCTGATTCATGGCATAAATTAACAATGCTTAGCTTTTTCGTAGTGAGAACAATTTCTGCAGCTGCCTTTATAATGATCTTTAGAATTCAAGAGATAGATAACTGATGATACCAATTCTTCGGCGTTTGGTCATGGCTCTAGCGCCTGCGTAATGACTGTTTATAAATGATTTTTAGCGTTCTATTTGATCTTTTCTGTTGTTTATTTTAAAGTAAATCTAAAGCAAACCTCATGCAGACGAAACGATCAACTGAAACAAGCAGTGTCTAATACTGTTTCTCTTCAAGAGTTAGTCAGCGTATACTGTAGTATCAGAATGATCTTAGAAATGTTCAGCGAAATGTTTCAGCAGTTTTTTGCAAGTATTAATAATTTTGTCCTGCTATGCTACTGTTTATACATTCATTAATGATCATTTACAAAGTAAAAAGTAAGATTGAATTTATCACGCTATTTTCAGGACTGCCGGAGTGCTTGCTCTCTGCTGCGTGCAGTCGCGCAGGGTTATCTGTATTGCACCTTGACCGAAATTCAAATTACGGCGGAAATTGGGCGTCCTTTTCATTCAGTAATTTTGTTGAATGGTGTGAACATGATTCGAGAGGTGGAAACGGCGTCGAGCAGTTACCTTGCACTGACGAGGTAAAGGCATTGGTCGACTTTACCTCAGAATCTCTGTTAACGGACTTCTCAACAACTTCCGTCTATTATGACGTTCAATCTCAATGGAATTTGGCGTAAAATATTTTTTGTGCTGCTCGTTGAAATAAATCCATAAAGATTGCTTTTAGGTCACACGCGGAACAACCTAAGGAATGTAAAGAAGCCGGACCAACTGTTGTCGATGACCCTATGACCAGCGGAGACAATAATTACGACGTTTCTGGAACTCAGGTTCCAGATGGTGACAATCACGAATTCCCTTCTGCTCAAACTGAAATTGGTGCTAGCAACCATGCTGGCCCTCAGCCTACTTCTGAAGGTGTTTACGATCATCAAGATGTTCCCCTTCCAGATGCAGGCGTTCAGGATCGTCGCCTGCTTGACGAAATCTTATCAAATTCGAGATTTTTCAACCTGGACCTTTGCCCAAAAGTAGGTTTTCGCCGCCCAGTTCTCGCTTGGTTTTAACGATGTTTGCTTTAGGTCTTGTTTTCTCGCGGTTCAATGGTCGAACTGATGATCAGATCTAACATCAACAATTACGCAGAGTTCAGCAACGTGGACAAAATTTTGGTGCATTACGACAATCAGCTCCGAGCAGTAGGTATTTCCGTAGTGAACAGGCTGAATTGAAGACTAAGTTTAGGTACCTTGCAGCAGATCAGACGTGTTTCAGTGCCAGGAATTTTCTGTCGTTGAAAAACGGCTGCTGATGAAGTTTTTGACTTTTTGTATGAGTCACGAAAACCTTTTGGATCAATGGATCGGTATATTTTGCTTGTAATTACTGTACACGTAAGTGGTTACGTAAGCTGAGTGAATGAAATGTAGAAAAAAATTAAAAATTTGTGACGGGTGATGTTGATCGCCCTTATACTTAAAATATAAGTAGCGTATCGGCACACTGCTTACGAAGTCGGCTATGAATTCCGGAAATGCCGCGTTCGATTTCGGCAAGGGGCAGTCTTTGTTTTTAACTACGAACTTTATTGAACTAGAATTTTACCACACATTGTTTCAGACCGCGGTTTCTCAGTTGGTGGAGCATTGGACTTAGAACCGAGAGTTTCCACTCCAAACCCTCGTCAGAACACTATCATTTCTTCCTTCCCAGATTGATATGTGAGTACCATTCTGTGGGAAAGGAACAGGAGAATATACACTATGCTTGTGACAGCTGTTTTCGACTTTGCTTCTAAATTCTGCACTCCTGACTGATGAGTTATAATCGGAGATCATTCTAGTAAGTCGAACTTTTAAATTAGGGAAAGATTAATTTTATTTCTTTAAGTTATGAATTGTTACTTTCATTGGCAGTTATCTTAGCTCCTTTTGTAGTACTTTACAATTTCCATGCGCAACTACCGTGTTTTAGATTATGAGAATGAATCAGTTTCTAATTTTTTCGTCGTTCACCAGTTGACACCACGTTTGCAACATTATTTGCTTTACGCTGTTGGAAATGGAAATTCAACGACAACTACTAGAGAGGTACAAACTACTGATGATACTTAACACTGATTTTATTTTAAATGAAAACATTTAAATTAGCCTTTTGTACTTTCTTGCATTTATTTGCCTGCGTTTCGGTTTCAGAACGATTTTTCTTTGAATTTCTAAATGCCACATTTAAACGACGAACTTTCATGTCGATTTCCACGATTCAGAAGACGTTTTAACCGCTTTTGCGAGGGCATGCTTCATCACCAAATGTCGCGATAATGATTTCTTCCTTTTTTTCCTTCTTCCAAAACATCACAAAGAAGTAATGGACCTATCGCACTAATAACATTTTACTTGAAGAAGTAGAGAAGTTAGATTTTGTTGATGCATATTGAAATGAATTAAAAGAATATAGTAGCAGTGTCCTTTTCCTAGTCAAATTTGCCCTACGGGTGAATGAAAATATTTTATCTGCCAATGATGATTGTCCTTTTATTCAGAGGGAACGGAAACGAATGACGCCCCGCCACATGTTATTATACTCGAATTTTGCAGCTATTCTCTTGGTTCCTTTGTTGAATCCCAATATGTGGATGCAGACTTGCCGCACTTGGTCTTTGTTAAACCGGATCATTTTTACGTTCGTAGTAAATGACACCTACCAGAGGATGGTTTCTTTCATGATAATCAAGCAAATCAGTTGTTAATTTCATGGGCGGCAGAACTTACTCTCAGAATTCTACTCAAGGTATCGTCAATTGATTCGGAAATGTGGAAATCCTGAGGTGGCATTGTCAGTTTCCTTCTGGGGTCAATACGAATACAAACTATATTTATTACATAAGTTCAAAATGTGCACTTCGTCGTTATTTCGCCTTTTGCCTTTGCTGTGATTTATGTGTAACTCATAGCTGACTTTCATGGTGTGGATAGCTTGTTAAACGTTTGAGCGGTTGTTATATTGCTCATGAAAGTTCCGTTTACTCTTTGATTGCCCAAATATTTGTTTATCCAGTGACGTAATATCATTATTTTGCGTTTCTGAATTTATAAATAGTCGGTTTTTAAAATGTCTTACATTATAGTTTCTGGTAGCAGCAAAAAAATTCATTTCGTCAACGGGAGTTTACGGAAGCTCTCCGTTGCTCTGGACGCTGTATGGAAGCGGTGAACTTCCACAATGCTTTTGCCGCTTGTGCGCTGTGTATGGAGGCGTATTTTGCCTCCGGTGCAGAATTGATGGATGGATCCTCTCCAAGGAAAGGTGCAATTCAGCCTTTCAATAAGTGACCTCTGCTTTCAGTTTGTTACTGCTTCGTTTCAACAAATGGTTTATTTGCATTTTAAGTTAAGGAACATAAATTTGAAGCACAAATAAGATGATTTGTTTGCGCAGTCATTCATTGTACTTTTTAATCTGTTCCTCAGATTAAACTATGTGGAGGTTGTTGTTTCGCTCCTGCAGTATTCTTTTCTTCTGTGCTGAGGTCATTACACGACGTGTCCAATCAAGCGCTCTCCTTCTTTAGAGCAGTTGTTACAGTTTTTTAAGTAACCCTAAATTGGCCACCAAAGCTTCCTCCCGACCCTCAGATTCATGATGAAACCCAAGTCCTTTGTAGTAAATAAGGGACTTTTCAAAATATAATAACTGCTAAGTAATTCAAGCGAAGTTCACGAAATTGCATCCAAACACGTTCGTTCATATCACCGTACCAAATGTCATATTTTTCATTGTGAAGCGCGATGCAATTTGCATAAGTACTCTTTCCTCTTCTGAGACGTCGCGACCCTGATTTGAAATTCACATGTGGTTTTGAATCAGCTGGCTCAGAAAATGAGTCATATTATGTGTTTTTCAGCATTCATTCTTCAGGAATTAATGAGGCTCGCGAATATGTTGTTTGATCATCCTCATAGACAGATTCGTTTTAAAGGTATGAAACGTCCTGTTACCCCTTAGCGCTGACTTTCGCTTTTTACTCTCAGAATTTAAGTTAATTCTGAATAATGGCAGATTTGCACATCTGGTTCCTCTTTCGACTAAGTAGATCGCCTTTCATCCGTTCGAAGCAGATGAATGATCACTCAGTGGAATTGAATACAGAAGACTGCACTTTGCTGCGTTGCTTCTATTGCTTTTATAAATAAGGAAATTTCGCTAGCAGCATTAAAACGTAGACCAGCGGCGTACTTTAAGCTCATGAATAAAAGTTGGCAACGAATGGTGCTTATCTCAGCGTAAGAGGGACTCATCCTCTCACTAGGTACAGACTTTCGTTTTTCTTTTTTCGTTGATCAGCCAGTTCTAAGTTTATCGCTGACGTTTTGGCTACCTAGGATTATACTGTTTTCACTCCACCTTATTCAGCCTTCTTATGGATCCTGTACTGATGTAAATAGTGATTTTACTCAACTCTTCATACCTTCGATTCAAATTCAGATTTAACGAAAACGATCTGGCTGAAGTGTCATCCCCTGTCTGTGACGCAAATGACATGATCCTGCTGCTGACACTGATTCTGTTTTTCATGCATCAAGCTATCGGTCACCGATGCGCCCGACGTGGTTGCTGAAATTGTAGCTAAAATGAGGTGTAGGGGAGGGTAATGCACGATGCTGCTGCAAACTTAACTAATAAAAACGGTAATGAAACTGTAATCTGATGTAATGAAACTTGTTTGGTGTATTTCTTCCACGACTGTGTCTGTGTCTGACCTTTGTTAACTTCATTGTGTCCTGCTGCTTAAAACTTAATTCACCGTTTGTAAACATGGTTTAGTATTTTTGAAAATTGCTGCATTCAGGCGCAATTACGATGACTTGGAAAGTTAACTAGCTCAGACGGGCTGAGCGAAGTATTAGCCGCGAGATTTAGAGGAACAATCTTAGCTGTCCAAGTTTATGAACAGTATTCTAATACGTTTTCTGTGCATTTCTAAGTAGAGGCGCTATTGACAAAGCTTCGCAGTTCCTTGTCTTATACCGTGGACTTGGGTAATTTCATCATATGATTGAAGTAAATAAGAGTACTAATTCAAAATTATTTTGTAAAGCATAAAGGATAATGTTATATTTAGTCTTACCTGTGGGACCGTCTAAGCAGGTCATTGTTCCGTGGTACTTAAGTCTCTGCAGTGCATCTGATGCTAGACCGCTCTGTGAATTGGGCTGAACAAGTAGATGTTCGAGCACCAAACAAATTTTCCACAATCCTTAGGAAAATACATTATAAACCACGGTAAAATATAACCACGAAATTCTGAGGTAGCTACCACGAATATTGCACCTGTTGTCGGTATAAGTATAAAAATAATTAAGGAATTCGTCCATCCATGTAATGGCGAATGAATAAAGCTTAGTTAGCTTAATAAATCTAGTGTAACTGAGTATTTCTTGTATCAGTGTTAGTCAGACTAATAAGAATTTCATGACAGATGTTTTTTTTGCAAGTTTACTCAATTTTTTGCAGTGTTTTTATAGCTGAAAACTAGGGTCATAAAGTATTATGTCGCTCATGGCAAAACTCGTGATTTTCTTTAAATATCAGTCAGTCGGAAGGCAACGCATCTTTATATTTGTATCTGTTCGCATTGTCACGTGCCTACTTACAAGTGTGACACTCGATTGCTTCTCTATAATGATAGGGATTATTTCAGTAGATATACGTGGATACATACAAACTTTGTCCTCATTATGTCTAGAGCACAGATGTGACCCCTTTTATAATGTTCATCATTGCCAAGGAGGCCAATGATTCTCCAACATTGGATGTTAGGTTGTGGCCGGGTCGGATGTTAGGCGCGTACTGTTTCTTTCTGGTCGTGTCGTTATCTATAAGCGGCGCTGAAATGCTGTTGCACTTCTAGTTATTATCAATCCGACTCTTCTCAGAGCAATTACATCCAAAGATTAATAAGGCTTCCACACAAGCTTTGACAATAGGGCTTTTGTGAAAGAGGCCTCCAGACGTTTTCGGTGCTGTGAAATGATTTCAGCATAAGTAACGCCGTGACCTAAGTTTGGCTGCTTATTTTAAATATTGAATTTTTTTTCTAGCGGTAGGATCGTCGCCGTTATTGTAAATGGTCAGAGAGTGAGCTGTGGCTACGTTATCAGTGATGTTTCTAATACGCCACTGTCCATACAGGAGCCGCTTCAGATTTGTCCACTTTATATACTCTCTCGCGCCGTGCTGATAACCGACAGACCCCTGCTAGCTGATGGCTCTGATCACGTAAATAGATGTTTGTT